AGATCATGGTAGTAATGTTTGGTAAAATTTTACACCTTCATGTTTGGTGAAAACCTAACTCAGCAAATTAGAAAGGTGGTGGAGGGGTGACAATTTAGTCTTGTTTTGCAGCCACAGGAATTGAGCACATAGCAGTTATTGAGCCAACTCCTTGGTTATCTAAAGTATTCTAGAATCMAATATGATGGCTAAAGCTGGACTGAAACTGGTTCATGAAAGAGAACCTGCTTTAAAAAATTTTTGATTGTGCATCTTGAGACAAAACACTTTACACAACAAAAGTTTAATTTGCATTTTAATAGTCGTCATGTTATTAAACAGCTTCTTAGTTCAAGAGCCAAAGAAATAGAGGAGCATTCATTCTTACAGAATGCACAGTTGATTCAGTATTCATTTTTGTAAGAAAAAGTTGCATGAATAAATTAAAAAGAAGCAAAGTACAATGCTTTGCTGATCTTTCTAACCTTGCATATTTTTCACAACATGAATGGAAATATAAAATGGTAAAAAGATGAATCCTAGGAGTACTAGTTTGAACAACGGCACTGTAGCCTATGATATGCACACAAGTTGTGAACTGATTCCAGAGCTGCTCTCTCATTTATCCTGAGRGTATTCTGACCAGTCAGTGTTCACTGCTGACAGCATGTGTCAGGTATGCATTGTATAATCAATTGGGAATACTCTGCTCATTGCATGGTAAAGTAGGTGGGGGAGGGGGTTATGGAATAAAAAATGTGTTTTATGTGATTTCAGCTTGACTTACACAACTGTTGTATTGGTTGCTTAGTAACTGTAATACTCTGAGATAGGCCACATGTGCAGAAGCTCTAGAGAATAAGATTTCCAGCATTTTGCTCCATCTTGTCTCATTTTCCTTCTACTTGTTGTGATGCATATGCATGTTCTAGGTCACTATAAGGAAGAAGATGTATTTTTTTTCCACCATACTTTTGTTTGGTTTTCACTCATGGAGATCACAGAGCCACTGTGAGCTCACAACTTGACAACGTGGATGAAAAGCAGCAAWAGAGTGAGGTCAGAGAGGCTGAGGGAATATTTCATAAAGCCATCGGTCTCGCGTTGAAGGCAAAGTTGGAAGAAATGCGACATTCACTGCCCTGTTTCTCTGCTGGGCCTTTCCAAAATCCATGATGTGTAAAAACGCCACCAGAAACCTCTGAGCTCGCATCAATGCCTATGTGCTGAAGAGTGGCAGTGCTTCTTATGCTTTTCACCCATTAAACCTCACAGATGCTAAAAAACAAACATTCATGTACAGTGAACCATGGATTTTTGTGGGGGTTATGTTCTTAGAGTACCCGCAAATTGTGAAAAACGTCAATATTGGACATGGCCCAAAAAGGCCTATAAATTTCGGTTTTTAGAGCTTAAATCGTAAATATGCTTCCATTACACTGAATGATATTGACTGTCCAGCAGAAAAGAAGATGTAGAGATTTACCGTATTCCTGATTGCTGCCTCCTTCTTATAGTGAATTGTGCTTTTGTTGATGACGTAATGGTGCTCTACAGTGGCATAATCTTGTTAATCCTGAAATAAATCCAGTAATTCATCTTTCTCCTGGAGAGTCTTAAAAACCTCCTTGTGCTTTGGTTCAATGGAAGAAGTGTTAAAAGGTGAAGCTCGTTTGGGGGGGCATCTTAACATGGTAAGAACCAAAAAAGTTAGCAGTTAGCAGCTAAACACAGTACTGTGACAGTAAACAGACAGCGAAAATGCGTCACTCCAAGCAAAGCGTGGGCACAATACGTCACATATTGTAAAAAAAAAACTCTGCAAATAAGTGAGTCTGCGAACTGTGAAACAATTTTTCAGGGGTTAACGATAAACCAAATTTATTATTCACAACAAATAACAGAAGTAATCAACACAATTCTACACTCACATTCTCACTCTGTTTTAAATAATTCAGACAGAACATGATTATGTCCATTCTCTTCTAGAGATTAACCATAAGGTTTTAATAGCTTTCAAAATTAAACAGCTTGCCTATGTGAGAGTCTTAAGAGCAGTCATCCTCCAGCAGCTGGAACATACCTTCAGGCCGTAATTTTCAGGAAAACTTTTTTTGCCAGTGGATTTAAAACTCTGTATTAAAATTAGCTATTGTTTACTGAGAGGGGGTTTTATAAATCAGTAATCAAAAGCAAACATCATCATTTTTTATAACCTGGAGCCACAGCACCTGAGATTTTCTTTGTTCTTTCTGCCTTTTTTTCTTTTTATTTTTTTTTTTGTACAGGCGCTGTCTCTTAGAGCTGTACACGTTTTCAGGCTCACTGGAGGCATTCCAATAGATCCATCAATTTGGCAAAGCAGTGTGTGTGAAGCATAAGAGTCATTCCCTGGGGACGCACACGCAAATGCGAAGACACACACACACTTGCACACCAATCGGCAATCTATGTATGTTATTCAGTTTTCCACTGAGATTTCACTGGCAGGGTGTCTCCGYAGTGATGTGTGTGTGTTGGCTGTGGCTCTGCTGCTCTTCTTGCTTTTGTTTTTATACATGGCCTTGTTGGCCTGGATGCTTTTCACTAAGCTGTTTATACAATACTCCCACATCGTGGCATCTCCTCTGTCAGACAACAGTTCTGCCTGTGCTTCCTCTCACCGATTATGGTGATGTCAGTCTCGGTGTAAAACAAGGACGCATCGGTTTACATCCATGAATTTAGCCCCTCAAGACCACACACAGATGCATACTTTAAATATACTACCCCACCCCCCCCCAAAAAAAAAAAAAGTGGGCCATGCATACATCAAATAAAAACATGATAATTAGCAGTAGCATTCTCGGCATTTCTTAGTTTTAACACAAAGTCAAATGAAGCTCGACATCATGATAGGTAGAGTTTACGTGTATCGTTATGGGTCTTGCAAGCTCATTAGAAAGCAACAAGGTTCCTTGCATGATCCAGATGATGCAACAGCACTAATTAAAAGGTGCCAGACTGTAAGGTTTCAATTTGCCGTTAAGCTAAATCAGGACATTCTCTATCATGGTTGAATGATTTCAGCACTTGTCACTGACTCTCCAGATAAAGGCAGTGTTGCTTCTAAATACAGCGGGTAAAATAAGTATTGAACATGTCATCATTTTTTCTCAGTAAATATATTACTAGAGGTGCTAATGACATGAAATTTTCACCAGATGTCGGTAACAACCCAAGTGATCCATACATACAAAGAAAT